ATATTCATATCTGTCTGGATTGTCTCCGAATTCCAGAAGATTGTCGAGATGGGGCATCGTCATGTTGCGTTTCTTAATACGGTCTCCGCGCATTTTGAGTGCATCTTCCCGTCGTATCCTGGCGAGTTCTTCCTTGGGAATGAATCTTCGAACCGCATATGACTCTTCTTCTGAGTCACTGGATTTGTCCTTGGTTCGCCTGATTTTGCGAACTGTTTTGGTTTTAACAGGGCGAGCTCTTCGTACCCTGTGAACAACCGTCTCTTGTTCGGATACTTCTTCAGATTCTGATGATTCGGATTCTGATTCTTCCGATGATGAGGATTCTGATTCTTCCTGTTCCGACTCCTCCGAGTTATCCTCAGAGTCGCTTTTCTCGACCCTCTTTACTCGTCGTCGTTTCTTCTCCGTTCCCTTGGAGTAAGATTTAGTCAGCTTGGAAGTCTTTCTTCGTCTGCCAGATCCGGAGTATTTCTTCATCCTGGAATTGGACGTCTTGGTCTTGGCATATGAAGCTGTCTTTCCTGAGTGATCTGGTGCCAGATCATATTCCGGACTTGTGCATTGTGCGGCGACATGTCCTGACTTTCCGCAGTTGTAGCAGAGTCCACCCACAGAACGTTTCTGATGGGTTTCTGGGGAGATCCGGTCAACGTCCATTGCGTCAGGGTCCTTCTCCGTCCTTCTTCCGCTTCCTGAAGAGCCTGAGATGAACTTGAAGATATTTGTCTTTTCGCTATGAATGTCCTGAAGGTCCGTGACCTTTCTTGCGGCCTTACATGCTGCTGCATAGGTCGTTGGCGGATTTTCCGTGATGAAGACTTTTTCTGCAAGTTTCTCATTAAGGCCTCGCTTGAAGTGGATGAGCTTGGCGTATTCGTCGTCGATTTCGGCATATCGGTAGAGGATATCGAGATTTCTGATATACTCGTCGACAGTTTGTTTGTCCTGCTTGTACTTTCCTTCGAGAAGTACTTGCCAGGCTTGGTCCTTGGTCGCGACACCTCCATACTTTTCAGTAAGCATCGTTTTGAAATCCTGGTACGTCCCAAGATTGCTGTGTTTCGCCATTTGGTTGGCTTCCCATGACTCAGCCCACTTTCCTGCTGTGGATGAAGAGTCGATTTGAGAGAGGACAAAGGCAATTTTGCTGAAGTCGTCATTGTAGACTCCTGCATTTGCCTGTAGGTATCGTTCCACATTTCGAAGGAACGATGCATATTCTCGTTTGTCTCCTCTAAACTTCTTGATTTTTCCCATCTTCTTTTCCCGCGCCACTGGCTGCTTGGGGATTGCTCCCTGATATTGTGCATAGAGTCCCAATGCTTGCTGGTACTCATTCCAGACGGCATCGGTGCAAGTTCCGGGATGAACTGGTAGTCCAAGTGCCAGGTCGTATCGTGCATGTGTGGCCATACTTCCTGAGAACTGGAAGCTACCGGTTGGTCTTGATCCGGTTGAAACTGAACGTGAGATTCCAGGCACGTTGGGTAGGTGGGGTGGCTGGTCCCTTCTGAGATGTGTGATTCCTGGATAATCTGGTCGAGTAGTACTATCCGAGATAGATCTCTCGAGCGGGACTGCTCTCGTTCCGAGAGGATTAATGGGCTGTAATCCACTGGTTTCCTGTGAACGCCCTTCCTGTCGTTCAACTTGGATTGATTCTCCTCGTGGAAGTTCTGTTGCTTCGTCAAAGAGTCGTAGAGATTCTTCGTCAAAGGTTTCCCTTTCACGAAGAACTTGTCTTATTTCTTCGATCTCACCCTCGAGCTGCTCTAGCGTTGGGCGATCTGTTGGTTCGTAGGCTCGTCCTAGCCTAAATTGAAGTTGAACTGCTTCTGTCAACTTTTTGTCGTAGAGGTCTGTTAATTCCTCTGTAGTGGCGTCACGGAGCGTAAATGGTGGTACTTCTTCGTCAGAAGTCACCGGTCGTGTTTCTGGGGTATCTTCCTCAGATACTGGATCGTTTTCTCGTAAAGTAGTCGTCTTGAATCTTGTCTTGACCTAAGATTTCTGGATTGCCTTCCCTGGGAAGGGCTTTAGCACGTCTTCAACGTGTGCCTCAGATGAGGGCTTCTCTTCTGGATTACCACATGGGTAATCGCTAGTGCTTGAGTTCGTTCCTGTAACAAAAACTCCGCACTCCTGCCTTTTGATCTTTGGTGGCCCTTAACCAATCGCGTACGTCTTTTGATTTGCCTGGTAACGTCAACCAGTCGGAGTCCTAGTCTCTTTTCTGACCTCGGTGATTCCTGTGCTCGCTTTTTAAAGTGCCCAGCTAGTCACTTTGAACTCTTGCCTACTCCCGTTTGAGCGCTTGGTCGTTCTGGCTTTTGATTTCCTCTGCTTGGTGTCCTATAACCAATCGTCCTTCCTATCTGCGATTTCTCGATTGAAATCCGGCCTCGGCAAGGTCTGGGTGCCTTCTTTCGGTGGCCCTTAACTGGCGTCTTCTGTATACCCAGCGCCTCCGGTGAGGATGGGGCTCAAGTCGACACTGCCTTCAGCAGGTACCTTGCTGCAACAAGTACCCAGGTTCCGCTTCTCCGAGAATCTCCTGTCTGGCGAAGTACCGTAGCAACGGATACTTCAGAGTGGTTCTCCCTGTTTTTCCAAGTGGTGCAGAGGTCGCAACGTGCACCGAGTTCTCTTCCGAGAATCTTCTGTCTGGCGAAGTATCGTAGCGACGGCTACTTCAGAGTGGTTCTCCCTGTTTCTCCAAGTGGTGCAGAGGCCGCAACGTGCACCGAGTTCCCTAGAATTGGATACCCCTGTTTGAGGACTTGATGGAATTGTTTTCCTGTAGTGTCCAAGTAGACCCCACTTCTCGTAAGTGGTTCTAAACCTAAACAGGTTGACCTATAGAAAAACCTCTTCCAAATGTTATGAAGCGTTCCCTGCTAGAACGTTCAGAACCACGTGTGCTTTCTCACACGTACTAGTCCACAGCGTGGACAGAGACTTAGATACCAAATA